GACCGCGCGCCAAATCCATGGATCGCTAACCTTAAGTCGGGTCTGTCCCTCTACAGGGGGAATATTCAAAAATAGTCAAAAAATAGTATGGGAACGATTTTTCTACAATTTTGAGCATTTGGGGAGTATTGTGTGACTATTTTTAATTTTTCGCCCAAAATATCCCTGTAGGGGGACAGGCCCGACCTAACGCTAATCCATGTTTGCGCGCCCCCGAGATACACGGGTGGCCCGATGTCGTCCCGGCACGCGGCCTTTCTCTGCGACCGTGTGGGCCTGGGTGTTTCGCGAGCGCAGTGAGGTCCAGCAGGTGACCTCCAGATGTCCTACGCGTGGATCCAGACATGTGCGCTTCCAGCTTCGTTCGAGTAGGGGATCGACTACAACGCTGATGTCCCCCAACCTTTTTGGTTTTCTCGTCGAACCTACGAGCAATGAGTAAAGTCAGAGTGCCTCGTAGATCTAAGATTCTACGCATGTGTCGTAGATTCGGCATGGGGGAAGTCAATTCCGGGGTAAAGCAGTTCTGTGGTCAATCCCCTACTCGATTCTTGGTAGAAGATGGATCCTACCCCAGACATCCAATTGCTCCAATGTTTTCGATGCGTGGACCCCAAATTTTCTGACCACTTCCCCAGGGCCGGTTTTTCGTCCCGAGTCCTTGTTTTGACGCTCCCGAGGCCCGGCGAGGACCCCCAGAGGCCGAACGCGGCCAATATCGCTTGCTCCATCTTTGGGGGGCGTCGGTTCTCTGGGATTGCCGATGGGCCTCTGTGACGGACTCGTTTTCCACCGCCACCACTAGAAGTGGGAGGGGGAGGGGGTCCTCCTCTTCTGCCTTTCTTCCTCCGCCTCCTCCCCCTCCTCCTACAGTCGGCCCGGATTAGTAGGTCGGCCTTGCCAAATCAAGGGTGCCTTTGTGTCCTGTGTCTCGCGCGCGACCCATGCTTCCTACATTCCTATGGCAATGTGACCCTCGGAAGGGTCTCGTGTCCTCTCGCGTGTCCTGTCCAATCAAGTCCGACTGAAGTCCTCCACCTCATTCCCCGCTCCAATTTATGGCGGTGGCGGCGGTGGCGGTGGCGGTGGCGGTGGTGGAAAACAGGCCCATCACTCTGCTCCCAGTGGAGTGCATAGGGGGCCACATGCGAACCCTACCCCTACCCCCCACGATTTATGAGGGGGAGGGTGGGGTTCACTGCGTTCGGGAGCTCCCAAGCGAAGTGAACCCCACCCTCCCCCTCAGAAATCGTGGGGAGAACGGGCTCAGCATGGACCCCCGATCGCCCACTCATCGCCCATAGGGGCCTCCTCCTCCTCCTCCTCCTCCTCCTCCTCCTCCTCCTCCTCTTCCTCCCCCTCGAGTCTTGGAAGAACCACGACGGGAGGCGCTTCGCTATGCTTGGCCTCTGGGCGGCCCTTACTCGGGGTTGGACAGACCTCCTGCCCTGACACGTCGATCAAGGAATTGGCCGCTTTTGGTTCGCGAGAGGGCGTCGCGGCCGTCCTTTTTGCGGGTCCAGGTGCGTCGGTTTCGGTCCCGGGCCGTTTTCATTGAGGGGAGGTCTACTAAAAGGAGGTTTGTCCACCGCCGACCCTCGAGTCTTGGAAGAAGCACGACGGGAGGTGCTTCGCCATGCTCAGCCTCGGGGGGGCCCTTCCTGCCCTCGGGACCGCCAAGAAACGGCTCGGGATGAGAAAAACCGGTCCGGGGGAACGGGTCGAGACCTCTGAGGGTCGACGTCATGAAGGAAGCACGACGTCGGGGGCCTTTGGTGGCTGTGGTGGCGTTGGGCCGACGGACGAGGATAAATCCGCTTCAGAGCGTTCCGGAACGCTCTCGGGGCGTTCCGGAGCCTTCGGAGAAGGCCGCGGCGCCCGAGATTCAGAGCGCCCGAGTCAAAAGCGAGGTAGGTTTGTTTTCCCCTAAGAGATATCCTCCAGAGCCGCCGGATCTCAGAGATGCCCGATTCATCCTCCCTCGCACTGATCCTCGTCCTGGCTTCGTCTTGCATCGAGGGGCGGCACCCGTCACCACCCCCCAAATCACCCCAACCCAATCCGAAGGCCTCAATCTGCCATCCATTTCCAGTGGGGTGGGTCGGGGAACATGAACAAAAAAGCACGCAGAACCCGCACCCCCCCCCAACGAAATTTGGATCAAATTCGGGTCTTGGGGGTCGGGTTGGGGTGGTCTGGTAGGTAGTCAAACCGACCGCCTCGCCAAGCTCGGCCAGGCCCACGCTGGGCCCCCTGGTATCTCAGGAGGGAGGAAAAAACACGCAGACACAATTCATCGTCGATCCCCAGGAAAATATGGAAACATATGTGGGAAAATATGTCGGGAGTGGGGGGGGAAGACGAGAACCCAGAAAATATGGAAACATATCGGGAATCCTGGGATTTGCGTGTATTCATGTGTGTGTCCCTTTATTTGAGTAGTCGGGAGACGAGCTTTGGATTATTGTTTTGACTATCCTGGGGTATTGTTTGAATACTTTTGAATTTTCGTCCCAAATCGCTTTCGGCCTGTGGGGGCCCTCGCCGAGCCTCGGGAGCGTCAAAGAACGACTCTGAGCGAAAAACCGGCCCTGGGGAAGTGATCCGGACGTTTGGGGCCCACACGTCGAAACAATTCAAATAGTTGGACGTTTGAGGTGGGTGTGGTGGCGCCGGGCCAATGGACTAGGATAAATCCTTTCCAGAGCGTTCCGGAACGCTCTCAATGTATCTGGAGCCCCTTGAGAAGGCCGCGGCGCCCGAGACATGCTCCAGAGCCTCCAGAGCCGCCGGATCTCAGAGATTCTCAATGTATCCTCACTCGATGGAGGAATATCCAGAACTAGTCAAAACATAGTTTTGGGACTCTGTCTTTTATATTGTTAGGCATTTGTTGATTATTTGTTTGAGTATTTTTCATGTTTCGCCCAAAATCCGCCTGTGGGGGCACATGCCCGACCTAGTCTTACGCTTAGGCGACAGAGTGGGTGTGGTTGCGCCGGGCCGATGGGTATAAGGAGAAGTCCACGGTCGAGCACGGCCAGCATGAGGGTCAACAGCCGCAGCCTTGGAAAGGTCGGAGGTTGATAGACCTCCTGCCCTGACACGTCGATTAAGGAATTGGTCGCTTTCGGTTCGCGAGAGGGCGTCGCGGCCGTCATTTTCGCGGGTCCAGGTGCGTCGGTTTCGGTCCCAGGCCGTTTTGATTTAACGGAGGTTTACTAAATGGAGGTTTGTTTCCCGCTCGGGCGTTTCTGCTTGGAGAGGTTCTCCTAAGGGCTTGGGCGACCCGTCCTCCTCCTCCTCCTCCTCCTCCTCCTCCTCCTCCTCCTCCTCCAACTCCTCCTCCTCCTCTCCTCCTCCTCCTCCTCCTCCTCCTCCTCTCCTCCTCCTCCTCCTCCTCCTCCTCCTCCTCCTCCTCTTCCTCCTCCTCCTCCTCCTCCTCCTCCTCCTCCTCCTCCTCCTCCTCCTCCTCCTCCTCCATCTCCTCCTCCTCCCCCTCCTCCTCCTCATCCTCCTCCTCATCCTCATCCTCCGCAGCCCCTCGGGTCGCCTACGGCCCAGGGGGACACCGTGCAGTTCCAGCCTGGGGCGCGTGCTCCGTTCTGTGGGATGCCTCCAGCAGGGGGCGACGGTCCTTTGTGGACGTGGCGCATATGCCGTCGATTCACGCTTCGGAGGGCGCGCCGAGCGGCGGCGGCCGTGGGTTTGTGACGTTCCAACCTGCTTTAGCCTTGACGACCAGAGAAAATTTCGAGCACCAAGAATGTACCGAAATTGCAGGGTTTTCAAGTGTGTCGGGCCCTGGGGGGCGATACTCGTTCGACACTGTTCCGCGTGCCCGGAACTATTTCTGGGATGTGGTCCTTAAGTACGATGGGGGCAACATAACCGTGGGCGTTGTTCTGCCGGGGTGCGGCTTGCGTCTAGGCGGGCGTGTCCCTCCACAGGAGGATTATTCAAACGTAATTAGGAAATAGTCTGGAGACGATGTGTCGCCTATTGTTGAGCACTTTGGAGGGTATCTGGTATGTTGTCCAGAATGCCCCTGTAGGGGGGCACGCCCGACCAAAGCCTAGTGGTTACCACTCTGCGCTGCGCCAAAGTTTTGATGAGTCCTAATTCAGCGGGGCGCGGCAGGGATTCCTGCCGAGGTCCTCGCCCGCCCCCCTCCCAGGCGCGGGCTGCAGGCCACGCCCTTTGCAAACCACACCCTTCGGAGTCGCAGATCGCTCCGTGGTGCTGTCCGACCCCGACCCAAACCTCTGGGCCAGTTCTGGAGGTCGCCGCGGCGATCGCGGCTGCCACAAATCGGGGCAAGGTTTGTGTCAAGGAGTGGAACGCCTTGTCCCAGCCCCCCCCCGCTCTGCGATGCAGACGCGGGTCATAGCCAATTGCATAGCGACACAGAGTTGTCGATGTACGGCCAACATGGGCAGTTATGTATTTTGGCTAGGGCCCAGTGATCGCATGACCGGGTGGTGCACAGATGCAGACGTGGAGCACCCCAGGGCGAAAAGTGTCAGGTGATCGGCGCTCCCCCCCCCTCCCCCACACATAACGCGGGTTGTCGCCAGAAGCGTTTAAAAGCTCTTTCTAATCGTTCCACCGCCTCCCTCCCCCCATCCCCCCCTCACTCAACCAGTCTTGGCCTCCCAAGTTGGGTCCGAGCAGAAGGGGTCGGAGTATCGCGCCGAATCGCCGACGCATCGGCAATGTGGCTCGATACGCAGCCCAAATGTTCCCCACGCCGACGGCGCCGATGCATCGCCGACGTCACCGATTCATCCCCGATGCATCGGCGATGCGGCGCGATCCTCCGACCCCATCTACTCGAGCCCGATTCGCGTGGCCGCCAAGTGCCAGAAGCGCAAAAGCTTCGAGAACCTCCAAGAGTGGACCTCGACGACCACGACGACGACGACGACGACGACGACGACGACGACGACGACGACGACGACGACTGCCACCACCACCACCACCACCACCCGTCTGTGGAGGGCCGCTTGGTGCGGGAGCTGGAGAAGAAGCTCGCGAAGAAGCACGTCGTCTTCGTGGCGAACCGTACGATCCTGGATAAGAACTTCCGGCGGAGGGGCCTCAAGGCAGGGGCCCCGCCCCGAGAGAGGGAGCACCACATATGTCCCTCTTCATCCATCCTATACTTCTGCCCCTCCAGCAGAGCCGAGTGTTATGATGTGTTTTGTTTGTCTGATTCCCAGTAGTGCTTTTCTCAGAAAGAGTATGCGTGTGTTCATTAGCACTGATATGTATATGGCTAGTCTTCTGATTATTCGTAGTACGATGATGACGGTGATGAGACTGGTGGTGATGAAGATGATGATGATGTTGATGATGATGTTAATGATGATGATGTTGTTGATGATGCTGTTGTTGATGCTGGTGATGAATATGGTGGCGATGATGGTAATCATGTTGAGTATGATGATGATGCTGGTGATGATGATGGTGATGGTGATGGTGATGATCACGGTGGTGGTGGTGATGGCGATGGTGGCGATGATGGTGATGGTGATGACGATAATGATGATGGGAATGGTGACGGTGATGATGATGATGATAATGATAATGGGACTGAGAAGGAGGACGATGATGATGATGATGTTGATGTTGATGTTGATGTTGATGATGATGATGATGATGATGATGATGATGATGATGATGATGATGATGATCATGATCATGAGTATGATCATGATGTCAATGATGATTGTAGTAGTACTATAAGTATTGGTATGGTTATTCATGCTTCTGTTCTGTCTCTTCCCCTCTCCCATACGGCCCTCCCCGGCCCCCGCCTCCCTTCCCCCTAATTGCCGTTCCCATTCTCGTCCGTCGTCCCCCCCCCCGTGACGCCCGACGCTGAGGGTGCTTCTGCCTCCCCCCTTGCCCCGATGGGGGGGGCGTAGCACGGGAGGATGCGGAGAAGGAGGAGGAAAAGGAGGAGGAGGAGGAGGAGGAAAAGGAGAAAGGGGAGGAGGACGAGGAGGAGGAAGAGGAGGAGGAGGAGGAGGAGGAGGAGGAGGAGGCTGAGGAGCGCCCGCCAGCCCCACCGTCACATGCGCTGTATGTTGCCCAGCCTAAGCGTAACCTCCCGGCCGCCCACGCCTGGCCAACGCGGGGCGAGGGGAGCGCCGTGCGGGGGAGCGGGGGGTAAGCGACCTACGCTCAGATATCAGAAGGGTACCATGAGACTGACTCGTCCTTGGCCTTCCTCCTCCTCCTCGTCCTCCTCTTCCCTCCTCCTCCATCCTCCTCCTCCTCCTCCTCCTCCTCCACCACTCCTCCTCCTCCTCCTCCTCCTCCTCCTTCTGTCCTCCTCCTCCTCCTCCTCCTCCTCCTCCTCCTCCTCCTAATCGTTCTCTATCCTCCTGATCCTCCTCCTCTCTCCTCCTCCTCCTCCTCCACCTCCTCCTCCTCCTTACCTCCTCCTCCTCCTCCTCCTCCTCCTCCTCCTCCTCCTCCTCCTCCTCCTCCTCCTCCTCCTCCTCCTCCTCCTCCTCCTCCTCCTCCTCCTCCATGCACTTCTCGTTCACATCCTCTCCAGGCCGACTGCAGATGTTCCTTGTGTTCCGCACTGTCGTGTCTAGCGCTTCGCGCCGTCCGCTGTCCTCTTGCTTCTGTGCGTCGGGCCGCCTGGGCTTCAGAGCTGGGCCTCCCTTCGCTGGGGAGGGTGGCATTAGTTACAAGTGTACCCCCCCTGTGCTTTTTCGGGGTGCGAGCCTACAGAAAGACGGCGGGCATGCGCTGCAATACCTAGACCGACCGACCCTTCCCTCCCTCCCTCCTTTTTTCCCTTCCCTCCCCCTCTTTCCTGCATTCATCATCCTCGTCCTCGACATCGTCCTCGCCTCTTTGAAGATGACCTCCGTCCTGAAAGGGTGGACCCTTGCTGAGGAGGGCGCTTGTAGGCACCCTAGAGCTGCTGACGGCCACCTCCCACACCATGGAGGCCATCAGAAGCTTCTTACGCTGTCTTGGAGGCATCCGGACCATCTTGGCGGCCTTGGTGGCCTGCCAAATACACCTAGAAAGCCATCTTGGAGAGCGCTAGGGACGTGTCTTGGCGCCGACAGAGCCTTGGGAATGGAGGGCGGAGCGCGCGAGGAGGTGCGGCGGGGAGGGTGGGGTCCCTCAGAAGATAACAGAAACCCTACCAGACAGCACTTGGCATTCTAGCACGCCTCGAGGCACGGTGGCGGATTCCGCCTGATGAAAGAGCCGAGCTTGGGCGGCTGAGGGGCAGCCTCGGAAGCGTGCGAGCTCGGACTTGATTACTGAAGACGCATCTGATTGACTGCCCTTGTCTGCCTGCCAGATCTCGCCACTCTGGCAGGTGTACGTCGCTTGTGGTCCGCCGATGTCCTCCTCGCCTCCCTCCTCGTCCCCCTCCCCCCCGCCGCCGCCCTGGAGGTGCGGCCGCGGAGCCGCACGCTGACGGCGGTCCACGACTCCATCCTCGAGGTAGGGCCCGGTCCCGCAGAAAGGGGGGCGGGGGGGGGGGCACCAAGATTCCGGGGCGGCAAAGAGGAGGGTGATGACTAAGGGGGGGGATACCACGGCGGGGGCCATGATATCTCCCCAGATTTCATGGCGCCTCTTCTTATTGCAGTGCGTCCCTGCCCCAACCCCCTGGGCCGCGCATATGCCGCCGACCATGATTTACGCCCCCCCCCCCCCCTCTTGGACGCCCCCCTCGTGGTGGCCCCCGAAAGACGGCCCAAGAGGCCTCCAAGAGTGCATCGAGGAAAGGCAAAAGAGGCCAGAATCAACGATGTTCCACATGTTTTTGACGGAGTTTCGCGTTTGCCCATTTTCGGGGTTCAGACGGCCCAGGACGGCCCACGAGGCAACCAAGATGGCACGAAGGGGCCTCCCAGATGGCCCCTTTGCGGCCCAAGAGGTGGCATTCAGGGGCAACGTTAGGGGCGGGGTAGGCTCAGGGAGGGGTTCGAGGTTGGAGGCTTTGGCACGTGTTCGGCTGTTCCTGGAGGCTTCCCCGCCTCGGGGCGCGTCCCGGCAGCTGTGCCTCGCCGAAGGCGCTCCAGGCTCGCCGGAATCGCAACGGCCGTTGTGGACCTTCGGGTCGGGCGCAAGGGGTGGATTGGGAAAGGCGGGGGTACGAAATTTGCCGCATGCAGCTGGTTTCGGCCTCACCGAGGGGCCGACTCCTCGATACATGGGCGCCTATCCGGCGCCGGGAGGCGCCGGGAAAATCAGCTGCGCGAGCTGATTCTCAAACCCCCCCTTTGCTATCCCCCCTTTCGCCCGACCCGAGACCTGCTCTGGGACGGCTAGAGTCAGGAGGGAAAGAAACACACAGACACAATTAATCGTCGACTCCCAGGAAAATATGGGAAAATATGGGAAATGGGGGGAAGACAGAAACCCAGAAAATATGGGAAAATATGGGGAATCATTTTATGTGTGTGTATTTATTTGTGTGTCCTGGGGCCCCTTTATAGAGGGGTGGCCAGGCTCGGGGGGGGGGCGCCTGGGCCCCGGTCGTCCACCCGTCGCCGACGGGGGGCCGGCAGCCCACCCCGCCCATGCACGCGCGGTGTCGCTGCCGCGGGCCTCTCGCCGACCTCTCGGCAGTGCATCGCCGCTTCCGGCTCAGCGTGTCCCCCCCCCAGAGTTGGCCCCCCACTCACCACCTACCAAATCACCCCAACCCAACCCGAAGGCCTCAAATCTACCTCCATTTCCAGTGGGGGGGTCGGGGAACGTCGAGAAAACACATATGGAACCCGTACCCCCCCCAACCCGAAATTCGGGTCTTCGGGTTGGGTTGGGGTGGTCTGGTAGGTAGTCACCCACTGCTGCTGCCCCTCAGCTCCGCTTCGAGCTCGACGTGTTCCCTCCCCCTGGCCGGTCCCCCCTGGCGTTCCAAGTCCGTTTTGGGCGAAGACGCCAAACGCCATAAACATTCACTTTCGACGCTCCGCGCGGAGTTCTTGGGACCCGCGCTGGGGCCCCCTGGCGGCGCCTCCGGCGCCGCCCCTGGCGCGCTCCGCGCACCAGAGAGGGGGTTCCAGCGCAGATCCAAGAAATCCGCGCAGAGCGACAAAAGGTTATGTTTGTGTCGTCCTTGTTTCTTCTACCCCTAACGTTCCGAACCTGCTCTGGGCTGATAGAGCCCCCATCCGTGCCAAGCCGACATGTTGGACTGCCGGTTTTTCGGCGCTCAGGGGAGGGCGTGGCGGGCGCAAGTATTGGTGCGGGCCGGTGTTTGCAGCAAGAACGAGACGTAGGTGACGTGGCTGTGGTGTACATAAACTCGGCTACCAGATATAAAACGACCTGGCAGTTGAAAGGCCGCCGATTTTGTGGGAGGGCTCAAGAAGCATGATTCGGTAAACATGCGAAATCACCGGCCGATGCCCCCCACCGCAAGGACATCGTCGGGCCCACAGAGATCGTGGGCAGGCGCACCCGCATCGGCGCTGACGGCACCAAGTTGATGAAGGTCTGCATCCCCTCCCGTTCGACTCTGCGGGAGGAGAAGGCGGAGCAAGCGATACCGATACAGATACCGCTACCTTTCCCTCGTCGCCACGGTTGGATTTGCCTCAAAATGCTGGTCAGAACGAGGTCCGGGGAGTAGCGGTATCGGTCTTTTGGTTCCCCCAGAGAAGAAGGAGGAGGAGGAGGACGAGGACGAGGACGATGAGGAGTAGGAGGAGGAGGAGGAGGGAGGAGTTGGAGGGAGGAGGAGGGAGGAGGGAGGAGGAGGGAGGAGGAGGAGGAGGAGGAGGAGGAGGAGGAGGGAAGAGGAGGAGGAGAAGTAGGAGGAGGAGGAGGAGGAGGAGGAGAAGAGGGAGGAGGAGGAGGAGCCGTCCCTCCCTCTCTTCCCCCTCCCTCCGGCCCGGCAGGAGTCAGGCACAAAGCCAGGGGGAAGGCTCAGGGGCGGCTACATCGGCCCACAGTCGCCCCGTCATCGCCGATGACTGAGGGTCCGATGGCCCACCCCGCCCAGGCAAGTTTGGTTTCGCTGTCGGGGCCAACTCCCGATCTGTCGGCAATGAGTATGTCGCGCTCCCTCCCTGAGCTGGACCCCCCCCCAACGTTTCCCCTTGCAGGAGGAGGGAGGCCCAGAAGCCCGAAGAAGTGTTTGCTCACGCACCCTCCTCCTCCTCCTCCTCCTCCTCCTCCTCCTCCTCCGCCTCCTTCGCCTCATCCTCCTCCTTTGCCTCATCCGCTCGTTCCGGGCCCCGATATGGACCCCAAAAGGCGGAAGCAGCTTCGCGGAAGGGGCCGAGGCCCCCAGCGGGCGCGGATTGAGAAGCAGTGTCGAGGAAGGAAGGCCGCCCCCCGGGGACGCTAACAAAAAGGGTTGCAAATGGTTGTCAGTATGGCCACGCCTCCGCGAGGATGCAGGTCGCCACGGCTGCACTCGCCTCGCAGTTGCTCCCCGCGCACCCCAGAAGGGGTGTGGGGGGGTCAATGGTCAGGCGCGGGGTGGCCATAACTCTTGAGGTTCTGAACGAGTCAGCACGGGCTCCTGCATGGCCGCCTTGCGGGCCCGGATTGCCGCGAAGGAGAGGCGCGCCGAAGTGGCGGCAGTCTCACCAGGGTGCCACACCTGAGCCGTGTGGCGTGCTCGTGAATCCAGGCCACGGCAGTGCCCTCGGTGGGGCCGCAGCGCGCGCTGTTTGTTGCGCCCTTGACCAAAAGGAGGGGCAGCAGTCGGCGGCCCCCAAGACCTCGTCTCGTGAGGAGCCCGGAGATCCGGGCGGGGGAGGAGGAGGCGGAGACGCGAGTCGAAGCTGGTCAACTCTAAACCGACGCCAATCGACGCTAAATCGGCGCTGTCTCACTGATTGCCAGACGGTGCTCGACGCTAATCGACGTCGAAGACGGACTTCAGATGGTACGGAGGGGGAGGAGGGGGAGGCCTGGCCGAGGGGGGCAGGGAGGGGACCGTCAAACAAGTAGGTGGGATCGATCCGCCCCCAGGGGGCAGGTATTGTGATCCTTTTCTTGTTGGGAAGGTCTAGCGGCCGGTGCCGCCGACTCTGAAGGGGGACGGCGATGACGACGGCAGCGGCGGCGGCAGCGGCGACGACGACGACGACGCTGACGCTCTGGAGCCTCTCCTGGGGCTCTCTTGGGAGCCTCTTGGGCTCTGTTGGGGCTTGGGCTGGGGCCGCGGCTGAGGCCGGGGCTGGGGCCGAGGCCGAGGCTGGGGCCACGGCCAGGGCTATCGCGAGCCTTCTCTGATGTGTTGCTCTGCCGATCGGCACGGGCCCTCGCACCCCCCTCCTTCCTTTCCCCCGTGGAGTGGATCTTGGCTGTGATCGGGCGCCTGTTTCAAGCGGGCGGCGTCTCCCCCACAGGACGCACCGCTGCAAACGGTGGCATGAAGCAGAGGTCTGGAGCCAGAGCCCCCCTTTCCCCCCCCCTTTCCGCCCAATGCCGAAACGCCGAATACGAAAACGTTCGCAAAACAAAGAAGCAAAACGTCGGAAGTCTGGAGGTGGAGGGAGGAGGATGGATGCGGGCCTTTGGGGACTCTGGCGGGGCCCTCGGCACCAAGGGGGCCGGGTTCGCTTCGCGCAACTCAAGACGTAGAGCGCGCTCCAGACGAGGCCCATGTTTCGAGTTTGAGGAGAGAGGAGGAGGAGTGGGTGAGTTCTATAAGTTCCAGGAGGCTCAGCGTACGAAGGAGGATCTGAGGCGCTTGGCCTCCATAGCGCACGTTGTGTGATCACATAGCTTCTGCCTCAGCCGTCTCGTTTCAAGCCGATGCGCTTCTCCATCAATCGATGACGCGTGTATGCGTGTGTTCGGTGATGTATGCTCACATTGAGTGTGCATGTGGATTGATTGTGCAGTGTGTCCGACAGGGCCCACATAGTGTCCATAAAGCATGAGTCTGCGTAGCATCAGCCATGCTTGCGGGATGGAGCCCCGCTCTGAGGTGTTCCTAGATCCCAAGGACAAGGAAAAGGGTGACGTTGAGGATAAGAAGGCCACGTTCGCTGCCGTCTACAAGAAGCTCACCAACAAGGAGGCGAGGAACCACCTATTGAGTTGAGCATTCTTGTGTGAATAGTAGCACAGGCTGATTTCGCTCGTACCAGTGCAGCACGCCCTCCCTCCAAGGGTCCTGCGTCCACACCGCCCGTTTTGGCTGTACTGAGTTTGTTCTGAAACTTCGTGGCAGCCGCGGAACATCACGACGCGGAGCCTTGTTCGTCTGCCTTGGAGATATACTCCCTGCAGAAGCTCAGTCTCCTCTTCTTAGCGCGAGCTGAGCGAAAGCAGCACGCACGAAGGCGACAAGTGGGGAGTGGACGTCCGAGCGGTGGCGAGCTGAGGTCCGAGAGTCCAGACCGCTCTGCCGTGTCTCCTGTGCGGCAGGCTCGCGTCGTGCCGACGACGCGGCGACCCCGACGCCGCCGGGCGGCCAAGAATTGGCCTACACCTTAGGCGATGCTTAAGAAAACCTAAATTTTCGGCCAGAGTCTCGATTATTCTTAATGTTTCAATGTAAATCCTAAGTTCTGAATGGAAATTTTAGGTTTTTATTCAAGTTCTGAGACTATGAATTTCTTAACCCATGATTTCTTAAGCATTTCGCAGGGTGTACAATGGAACGAGCTGGCGATCGAAACGCCGGCGGTCGTTGTGAACAATCCACACAGTGTCAGCCGGACGGGGCTAGGACGACGCTACATCCGTTCCCGAGCGTTCCGGAACGCTCTCAGAGCGTGCCGGAGCGCGCCGAGAAGGCCGCGGCGCTCGATACATCTCCCAGGGCCACCGGGGATCTCAGAGACTCCCGATGCATCTTCGCCCGAGTGTGTCTTCTTGCTGGCTTCGTCTGAGTGAGGAGCCAACGCCGGAGTCGTCACGACGACGACGCGCCGTACAGTTTTCTGTCTGGCCTTGGGTCGCCGGCGAGCGAGGGGGGCAAGTGAGAAGGGGCGGGCCTTCTCTGAAGGCTCGGGGGTCCCCCGGCCTTCTGAGAAGTTCTTTGGGCCTTCACCGAAGCCACCCCAAAACCTCTCAGAAGCCGCGAGGGCTTCTGAGAAGCCCCGCCGCCCTCTGAGAAGGCCTTCTCCTTCTCACTTGTTTGACCATTTGGGGATATTGTTTGAACATGTTTTATTTTTCGTCGAAAATCCCCCTGTAGGGGGACACGCCCGACCTAACTCCAGCTCCGCGGCTCACACGTGGCGCACAGACGCGGGACCCAGGGCGATCGATGACCTTCAGAAAGCGCGGTGGCGCCGACGCGTGCGTGCCCACCGAGGCTCTCCGATGCGACGCACGCCGTGCAGCGAGAGCTGACGCGGGCTCCATGATTTGTTCATAACGCCGGACGGACCCAGGGCGCAGGACGAGGCACAGGACCTCGCCGACGAGTCCTTGGGGAGGAGGAGGAGGAGGAGGAGGAGGAGGAGGAGGAGGAGGGCCGCAGGGCACTCGGCCGAGGCCTCCAGGGGGGGCCTTCCCCGGGCGGCCGACGCCCCCCCGGAGGCCCGTGGGCGGGGCCGCTCGGGGAGGCGCCAAAGGCCTGCGCCACGCGGCCCCGGGACCTCCGAGAGAGATTCGTGCAGAAAAGGCGCGGCGCAGGGATTTTTTCTTTGGCCATGAGCACTTTTCGAGGAGGAGGGGGAGGAGGAGGAGGAGGAGGAGGAGGAGGAGGAGGAGGAGGAAGAAGCCCCCCCTACCCACCCTACACGACACTAGGTTTCGTTGGCCATAGCAATTTTCTAGGAGGGGGGGTGGAGGAGGAGGAGGAGGAGGAGGAGGAGCGAGGGAGGAGGAGGGGAAGGAGGAAGGAGGAGGAGGAGGAGGAGGGGGAGGGGGAGGGGGAGGGGGCGGAGGGGGGGGGGAGGGGGAGGGGGAGGAGCAGGACCCTGACATCCTCGCGCCAAGGGGGCCCTTTAAGGGAGAGGCCCTTTGGGGGCCAGCAGGGGCCAGAAAGAGGCCCCCACGGGCCCCTCTTAGGACCCTCTGCCGTCTTGCCGCCTTTAGGGCCCTCTGTAGAGAGAACAGACAACGGCGGAGGAGGTGCTGTGCTCTCTGCCCGGCCTCTGGGGGCCCCCTGCCGAGCCCCGGGACCGTCCAAGAGCCACTCGGGTTCAGGAGCTGGTCCCGGGGAAACGAGAGCGCCCTCGAGGGCGCGCAATTGTTCGCGACTCGCGGCTCGGCTCCGATTCCTGCTCGTCGTCCTCCCCCCTTGGGGGGGGTGGGGGGGAGGGGAGCGGCGCGAGTCCGCGGAGTATGTGTCGTGCCTCGCGCCACGCGCAGCGCGAAGCCAGGCGCCTTCGGGGAAAGGGTCCAGACCTTGGGGGCTCCACGCTGCCAACAGAAAACACCATGTCGGCCGGGTTCTCCCGGCGGGAGCTCCCGGACCTCCCTCTCGCGCGCCCCTCCCGAAGGCTGGCTTCTCTGTGGGCCTCGGGGGCCGACGGCCCCTCCGGCGCCCAGAGCCGCCCTCCGACGCCGACGAGGCAAAAGCAAGAAGGAGTCGGCGCGATGTTCGAGCACAGCCAGCACGCATTGTTGGGATGAGCAGCTTGCCAAAGGTGCCTTTGCATCCTTACCCTTCGGCCCCTCCTTGGCCGCGCTCGCTGGCCGCGCCCCGATCGCAGAGTGTCGGCATGGCCTTCCAAAAGGGGGGCACATGCGAACTCTACCCCTGCCCCCACGATTTCTCAGGAGGAGGGTGGGGCTCATTTCGCCCTCCCCCTCAGAAATCGTGGGGGTAGGGGTAGGGTTCACACGTGGCCCCCCTATCCACGGCCGTTAAGGCCCTTGATCGTGCGCCCTCATCCCACGGGCTGACTGTAGCCACGCGTCCAGATCCGACTCTCCCCTTCTCTCTCTCCGCAGGCTTTGCGCCATCATACCTGTAGGGTTTCTCCGAAGGGCTCAAGGACACGGGCCCTACCTTCTCTCCTCTCCTTTCACTACTCATCCGCATCCATTCCTCCTCCTCCTTCCTACCTTCCTCCCACCCACACCACCCCTCCCCCCCCCTCCTCCCCTCCCCCTCCCCCACCCACCTCCCCCTCTCCCTTCCCCCCCGCTCCCTCTCCTCCTCCTACTCCTCCTCCTCCTCCTCCTCTTCTCCCTACCTCCTCATCCTCCGCCCCCATCTCCCCTCCTCTTTCCCTCCCCCTCCTTCATTCCTTTCTCCTCCCGTGCACGCCGCGAACCCAAGATCGACATGACCGACACGACGCCTTGCGGGACTGCCCCACGGCACAACCCTTAGGCCACAACGACCTTTCCATCAGCACGCCAGGCATGGCACTGTAGGCGACAAAGGGCCAACACCGACGAGACCCGACGCCATGCGGAGTGCCCCACGGCATCACCCCTTGGCAGAACGACCCCAAGCGGCATGCCGACACGGCAGACCTTAGCGGACGAGAAAGCCCACACGAGCAGACGACGCC